ATTAGCATCATCAATAAAAATAAAATTAGGCAGCTCACCTTGTTGGTTAGCTCGTCTTTGACAACTTCTGGCTTTTCTTTTCGATTTTGTTGCAGCAGTTATCTCATTCTTGCCAACCATAGACTTTGATTTTGTCCGTTTTACTTTTGTTCTAAGCACATCCTTCTGAGTATCTGAATATCTAGCACTGATGTTGTGTCTCGCGGGACATTACGTGCATAATCTGTACTGTGAACACAACAATATCTGAGTTAGCGGTACTGAAATGGCAACTAATAGTATATCGTGTTCAAGTTCAGCTACAGATATTCTAGTGGGTTTGCGATTCACGAACTATTGGAGGGGAACACTAGCGAGCTAGCTAGCTAGAGATAACACGCCTTCCGTTGGCGACGGTCCGCCTATATAAAGCCGACCGCGTCATTGTATCGTCGGTGGAGAGGGGCAGGAAATCTGCGCATTTGGCGGAAAAAATATGCAGGAGTCTGGTGTACTTGGTAAGGGCAGCGCGGTGCTATTAAAGAGTTCCTTCTTATGAGTTGATGGTATCGCAAACAATTAATTAGGACATTAGACATGTGTGCGGAAGTTTATACCATCACACATAGTCATAAGGATAACTGCATGTCATGGAAAATATATCTCACACGGTGGGCCAATATGAACCGTCTGTGCCATCTGGCACATGTTTTTCCTATAAGTTCTGTGTGGAATGGTTAACGTCATCAGTCATCACAGAAAATTGTCTTTGTGAAACCGTGTAACCTCAAATGCACACGGTTTACTTTCCAAAATGGACGACTAGGCAAACAATTCGTTCAGTATAACAGCGTGCATGTTATCACACACAGTTCCATTTCTAAAACTATGGGTTATAACTAACAACTTTGCCAACAATTCATTCAGTATAACCGTGTGCACGTAATCACACACAGTTTCCAGTTTCCATTCGTGCGCGATTGGCTACTAATCACACACGTTTATTTTCCAAGCACACGGTTTTATTTTTGAAGCGTGTGTGATGCCATTATCGCACACAGTTTGTACCATCGTATGAGGTTGAGGGAGGGGGGGGGGGGCTTAATAGCACCCTTCTGTAATATGCAGAAAAGATGCTTATGCTTATGTTAGAAAAATCTTAGTATTATTGGTGCATGGTCATAAATAGCTTAATATATTCTTCAAAAGCGGAGTCTAGTTAAAGGACTTATTCATTACATTCAGGCACCGCAAGGACCGAGTGTCGAAGAAGAATATGCGAACTTCAGAAGAAACGAAAGTTTTTGTGTCAGTGATGTCCAGCTTACCAAAGACAACAGGATATGAAAACAATTCATATGTGTTGGGTGCAACTGACCAACAGGTAACATGTAGTTTTCTGAAGCTTTCAAAAAAAAAGTTGTGCAAAAAAACCCTTCCCTCCCGTGATCCCCCCCGCGCCGCCACCCGCGAGGCGGACGGGCCGGGCGCCCAGATCCCCCCGCCGTCAGCCTCCCATCCTCCTCCCTCGCCGCCGCCAGGGGGCGCGGCCGGGCAAAGCCCGACCGGCGCCGGTGGCGGCGGGGCGTGTTCTACCTCCTCCGCGTGATGGGGCGGCGCGGGCTCCTCCTCCTCCGAGTGCAGGCGCGGGGCACCGCGGCGTGGCGGCGCGCGGCCCCCTAGCGGTGTGTGGCGCTGCGTGGCTGGCTGCGCGGTGGTGTGCACCTCGCCGCGGCAGCCGGATCCGCCCGGCAGGCGGCGTGGGCGGCGGCTGGGGTCCGGCTTCGGGCTGCTGGCGGCTGCATTGGGCCCTCTCTGTCACGGGCGTGCGGCGGTGGTGCGGTTTGGCCAGTGGCGGTCCGGCGACCTGGTGGTGGTGGCCGGCGGTGCGCGTGGTGGTGGTGCTTCCACTTGGCGGCTCTCTGTGCGGGGAGGCAGGGGAGCGGCTTGGTCAGGGGCGGTGGCGCCGACTGCGTGCCGGCTGCAGCACGAAGGCGGGAACTTTACAGGCCTCAAAGATCCCGGCCGGGCCTATGCGGCCACGGGCCTGGTATGTTCCTGCTATTGCGTCCGATCAGCTACCGTCGTTGACGGTGGAGGTGGGGCCCTCCCGCGTGCCGACGGTGTTGCTGCCCTAATCCCGGCTCCTCTTCTTCGTTGTGCAGACCATGCTTCACGGTGTCATGGTGAGACGGCGTGGGAAGCTTCGTGACCAGGTTGGCGCAGGGTGAGGGTCTGTTTGGTGGCGAGCTCTGGAGTGCCTGAGGTGGAGGTTGGGATCAGGAGAAATCCCTGTTGGCTTGGCCGATACCGACGCGGTGGCGCTTGTGGGTGCCGCCGGACCTTCCTGGAGGGCGTCGGGGCTACCCTTCCTCTCTCCTTGCCGCGTACCGAGGGAAACCCTTGGCAACAGCGCCGTCATCGCCGCGTCCCTTCTTAGAGGTGTTGATTGGTACCGGTGCTTCGGAGGCTCGGAGCTTGGTGGGCATTGGTGGGTGCAGCGGCCACGAGGCTTCTCCGGTTTTTTGTCGATCCGCTGTTGTCGGCATTTGTTTCTCTTGTGTTTTCTCTTTCTTTTCTTTTGGGCGTGACTGCGCTGTTTCCGCCCCAGCACCTATCATTGGATGTCTCGGTTGGTTGCTTTGTATACAAAGCGGGGGGAAACCCTTTTTTGATAAAAACATGTAGTTTTCTCTGATCATGGTCCAATATACGAGAGCTTTAATATGAATGCACTGGATCAGCGGGAAGCATATCTAGCGAACTTACCAACTGATCATAGTTGAGACACTCATGCTATATATAACAGTGAAACAGTCCGACAATCCAATGTGCATCTACTTGTAGTTTCCTTTAATCTAGTGCTTCGATTGGTGTCTGTAATTCAAACCACACCTCATCCACAAATGAAAACCAATTGCATAGGAGTATGGACACGAATTGATCTAGCTTTAATCCTGATGTATCCTATTCTTAGCATCTTCGACACATTTGAATCCTTCTCCCATGTACCATCTTTGATTCCATCTATTTTTGCCAAGTTCTAGCACGATCGCGAGCAAGCGTTTTCAATCTTAAGATGTCAGAACACAAACAATGTGCTCACACATATAAATACTGCTCTAGTATATGTGGTTGTTGGGGGCACTTATACAACACTAATTTCTCAGAGATACTTCATGTTAGATCAGGGCGACTGGGCAAGCATCAAGCTAGCATTTTCAATCATAAGATATCAGAACACAAACAACGTGCTCACATATATATATACTCTAGCATATGTGGTTGTTGGGGGCACCTATCCAACACTAATTTCTCGAGATACTGCGTATCAGAACAGATGGACATTGCAGACATGAGATCAGTGTGGGAGTACTATGTGTGTGTACGAAGTTAAGATTGTATGCCGGAGCGATGAAGATCGAATGCACATATCAGTCGGCCTGGTCAATTAATATAAACTATACGCAAAGATGAGAGATGATGGGCTTCCTGACACATACGTGAGGCTCCTTGGAGCATGCGAGTGCTCTTCATACAGTTTCCTGGTAACCATAATCATGACTTGAATTGGATCGGTGGCTAATTGCAATCATACCTCATTCTGCTAATGATAGGATATGTCTCGTTACAAATGTTAGTTGAAAATGTGCGACGGTTTTCTATGCTGGTTCACAACATGACAACAATTCAAATTATAGTTTTGCTCCAGTTCAAAAACTAAATGCGAAGCGAACGCGCTACTATTTTTTAGAGTTATGATGTACTCCCTCCGTAAAGAAATATAAGAGCGTTTAGATCACTACTTTAGCAACTAAAAATGTAGGAGGAACTAATTGAGTAAGATAATATCCAATCTGTCACCATGATTCTACAACATTTTTTGGGTAGAACCGTAATTATGATGGAAAATCAACTCCAGTTGCTAGCAGCATCGGTATCTAGCTGCCCAAATCAAATGTCTTTTGTGTTTTGAGTCGTATGGGCTTCAGACCAATATATAAAGCTCACCTTAGTCTGCTTGCTTCCACAAGTTTGACTACTTCTTTGACTTACAAAAGACTTCCCCGACCTCGCCATGGGTGACAGCAGTGGTGCCGTGAAGATGCATCGTGTCAGTACTCACAAGAATTGTTGCATACTCTATTTTTTGTGAAAAGGCTCGTTATATATTTCGTGTTAACATTTGGAGGCAGCTCTGGATTTCTCGCCAATCTCGCAGCTTCCCAACCAACCGCAGAATATAGATGAAGACAAAAAAGTTTGCAAAAAAAACAACGCAAGGGACACAGAAGTACACGGTCCCAGGAAAACTTGACACACACGTTCTGATGGTTGTTTGGAATCTCGGTGAAGACACCAAAACTAGTAAGTACAAGATCCTCACTGGAATTTTGAGTAAACATTCTACGCATGGTCCACCATGCCCAATAGTGTCTTTGTTTGCATCTCTCCATCAAATTCCCATGCGTGCTGGAGAGCGATGAGCACCAGTAACTAGCGAACCTCAGAAATAGGTGCCCTCCATCGATCTTAATCAGCGCATATGAAACATAACTATGATATCAACAATTCTACTGATTAATTATGTAAATACTTGAACTGGTCTATGGAAAACCATTATCTTGATCAAGCACCGTCCCCCCGCCCCCTAGAGAGAGCAACAAATTGTTTGTTGTCATTCAGATATTATCTGTGATTTACTAGCCATGATCTGTTGTGGCACCAGCCAGAATGTAGGGCCAAACCGGTTTCCGTGGTTGGTGTGGGCGACTATGTGTAGCATGTAGCTCCCATAAGTTGTTGCACTGTCCTAGATGGCGACAAAAGAAAACTTAAGTTCAACCACGGAATTATAAGCACGTTGTTTTCTAAAAAGTACGTTGAATATCATGAAGACAGACTAGAATTATAAGCACAGAGTAGTGGAAGCGGGTTGATTGTACAGAAACACCATGTTGCAAACACAATACTGCACATTTTACGCTGGAAGTACTTGGTGTTAACAGAAATACCTAATGTCAAGAAAGGAGTTCAGTTGCTCTTTGGATAAGCACTTCCTTTGAACCTCCAACTTTTGCTTTTTTTGCACTGAGAAAGCACTTTAGATCAGCAACTGTAAGCAGACGCAGCTGACCTCGCTTATGATGATCTATCACCTGAAAGCATTTTATGTCAAGTTACTAATTTATTAAGTTAATGCCTAAAGCAGTATATACATCTGGCTTGCCCTCTTTCAAACACAAATAAATGACAAACACCTTTGCAGTTAACTCGTCCTTATCAACATCTGGCTTTGTTTTTGTCTTTGTTATTGAAGTTGACTCATCCTTAACACTTCCTGGCTTTGCCTTTGTCACCTTGTTAGTAACATCCTTTTGATGATCTATTGCCTGAAAAAAATTAATCCCGAACTATAACTTCATTGTTGAAATCACCTCATATATAACTAAACAGTTCGCAGAGATTATCATCGATAAAAAGAAAATTAGGGAACTCACCTTTTTGGTTAGCTCGTCTTTGACAACTTCTGGCTTTCTTTTCGAAGTTGTTGCAGCAGTTATCTCATTCTTGCCAACCATAGACTTTGATTTTGTCGGTTTTACTTTTGTTCTAAACACATCCTTCTGAATATGTAGCACTGATGCTGTGTCTTGCGGGACATTAGGTGCACAATCTTTACTGTGAACACAACAATATCTGAGTTAGCACTACTGAAATGGCAACTAAGACTATATTGTGTTCAAGTTCAGCTACAAATATTCCAGTAGGTTTGCGATTCACAAACTATTGCATGTGCAGTGTCAAGCAGAAAGAATGACAAATTCCATGAATTCCTAGATAACAGCTTCCATTCGGATGGTACTTTGTAGAACTGATGCAAATAGGTATTTTCCTTCCTCAATCCCAGTCCAGAACATTTTTTGTTTTATGCACCCACAACAAAACAACAATACTACGAAAAAAACTCAGTGGCTTGGTGTCCCTTCCCCGTTGAGCAGTTTTTAATCTGTTGAGTAACATTTTTATTCTTTTATATTTGAAGTACAAGATATCTCACCTTAAGATGCTTTCATTCCCGTATAGTATCGACAAGATCCAAATTTACTTATGCAAACAAATATATTGTACTTATTTTATGAAACTTCTTACTCCCTCCGTCCGAAAATACTTGTCATCAAAATGGATAAAAGGGGATGTATCTAGATGTATTTTAGTTCTACATACATCTCCTTTTATCCATTTTGATGACAAGTATTTTCGGACGGAGGGAGTATTTGTTAGAATTAACAGTATTCTCTCACATAGCAAATAATATGAGAAAATAAAATAAAGGGCATTGACATATCTTCCTCGTATCCAAGTTCCTCTTTTCACAACAATCCTTTTGGTGCACTGCACAAGAAATATGGATGATTAGATCTCCTGTACGTGTTAGTACAATTGATATGTCTGGAACACTACCCTGATTCGTAATACCTTTTACAGTTCCTCCTTCACCACTGTTTTCTAGAATCTCTGCATGCTTCCTTTTAGGATTCACAGAAGTCTGCAAGGATGATGGGACACGTTCAAAATTCGAGTCCCATAAATAATACAGCACATTGGTACCAATCCACGTTCGAATCAGGGTATGTAAGATAAATTTGTTTATTACTCCCTCCGTCCGTAAATACTTGACGGAGAAATGGATGTATCTAGACGTATTTTAGTTCTAGATACATCCATTTTTATCCATATCTCCGACAAGTATTTCCGGGCGGAGGGAGTATAATATATAGTCCCACAAAAAGAAGAAGGCATCTAGCGCGAAAATATGACATAAGAAAATCACTCCATGGTGTTTGCAACATGGTGTTCCAGTATAATCAACCCGCTTCCTCTACTATATGGGAAATTAATTGCCAACGAATCTTAGACACCCCAGCGATGTGGCGACTAACCACCGCAGCTCCAACTTGCGACACAATGGCAACATGCCTTGGCATTAGCACTGCTACAAATCCTAGATGCCCCAGAGATGTGGCTTCGAACCACCATGGCTCCTGTTACTGAATCGTACAATGAACCGGGAATGAAAACCCGACCAAGATCAGAGTTCGACTATGGTTGGAGCACATCCGGTAACTATGATCCAAGCACACTAGATCAAAGGTGTGGATATCCTTTTGGGTAAGTGTATACCTGAATGACTTGCTTGAGAAGACTTGCACATGATGAATCGACAGGATTAGCATGGCTTGCTTTAGGAAAACTTCCAAGTGACGATTTTGGTAGGCTGGTTTCACTCGATCTGTTTGAACTATCAGCATCAGATTGTTCTGATGCAAAAGATAGTACCGAGTGAAATTGTAGTTTCTTTTTCTAGTAAAAGGAATCTGCTAACTAAGAAAATGAATTGACTATGGGATGATCAACAAACACAAATTGACAAATGTAATAATATTTACCAGAAGAACAGCTTGTTTTGCTTTTATCTGCTCGTTTACTTCTGCTAAATGAAGGCTTCAATAATGTTATTTGTGCTGCAGAAGATATTTTAATACAGAAGAACTGCAGTCACTCTCAGTTTTACTGTGAAGGAAATGAGACCGTCATAATTAATGAATTACGTAGATAAAACTCAATTAGCATAATTACCTATTAGGAATAAGTAACATGATTTATTAACCTGAATTATTTTTTTGCATTTCCTAACGATGAAAACCAAGAAAAAGAAGAGAAATCTAGTCTTACATTTGAATGAACTGGTTAGGACAACAGACTCTGATTGACAACCATGCTTGATGGAATGTGTGTCATCGCCAGTGCCAGCATCATCCAAAGACTGAGCTATCTCAACTTTGGTATTGCACAATTTGGCAACCGAAGAGCAAAAGACAGCTGGTTTGGGGGTCCGGAAGTCTTGTGATAGTAGAAAATACATATGCATTTAGTCAAAACAGGCGGTGAATCAATATTTCAGCCATACAGGCAAACAAGTTCGTTCGACAAAACGTACCTAAAGTCAATGATTGGTCTTTGGCCATAAAACCTGGATGAACTAAACGAAGATCCTCTGAATTTTCGGCTCTTGCAGTGTGCATTGCCAGTTTACTTGTGGCTTTATCCCAAGTAGGCAGAGTAGCTGTGCAGTTAACTACCAGTTGTTCCTGCAACATTACAGCCCACCTTAAAAACAACAGAGACCTACTATGCCCAATACGTATAATTACATACTGGCAGATAAAGGTTCACATAGTTCAAAATGACAAATTCATATTAAAACGGATAGCCGTGATTTATCAATACAAGTGAAGTGCTTGCATGAACAGCAATATGTACAAAAAAGAAAATATAAATAGTCTTTAACGTGCATTTTTGTACCATATTATAGTATGATGTGAAGAAAAGGGAAACGATATGATGCGTTGAATGACAGCAGCGTTAATTACTTGAAAGGTTAGTTGATTACCTTGATTACTAGTTGACTCTGACCAAAGAAATTCCAAGCTAGAATAAGAAGCAAACGTCAGGTATGATCCAACAAAGTTATTATTTCTTGCATTCTAAAAAAATAGTCCCTAGAGTCGTTGAGTAAAGATAAACAACATTATTAGTATGATCCGACATAGGACCTGAACACACATCCCAAGGGACCAGACTTATGATTCTCCTGTAGATACCATATGTCTTTTACATTTAAATGCTAAGACATATCTACACTGCCATGCATAACTCTCATACAACACCGGGAAACATGGTTTTCAGCAACTCCTGATTACAACAACTAGAAGCATGTATGCCAATTCACAGTTAGTAGAGGATATTTCTACCAGACAACAGAATAGTCATCACCTTTCAACAATTCTATAAAAGACCGCATGGAAGACATTGCCTTTGATGCTCTAACAGATTTTGGGGCAGGCTGAAGCCCCGGACCTTGGAGGACAAATGGAGAAGGCAACCTACATAAGTTGGATAAAGGTAATTAAAGCAGAACATGAGATGCATGTTGACATGGAACTGATAAATAATAATGATCAGCATGTTAATAACAACTGTAACAGCACTGAATGTACAATTGTACTTGAAAAATCATAACCATTGCTTCTCGCAGGAAGCTCCGCATGTCAGTTTGACTGCTGCATGATAACTGTAGTTCATCTCCAAACCATGCTGCAGAACGCAAAATTTGTGAAATGAGAAAAAAAATGTTAAATGCAGGAAATACTCCTGAGGGAAAGCATACCAAATCAAAAATGATGGTAGGAAATGCCAAATATACCACCTTAACTGAGCAAAGCTTTGTAAAGCTGTCCAAGATCTGTCCAGAAGGAGGTAGTTCACTAAAACCTATGAAAGTAAAACAAATATCTTGAGAAGAATATGAGATGATGTAGCAAGTAATACTAAAACTCTAGCTTACCAATCACATGGCCTTCCTGTAATGTTGGAAGAATTGCACAAGCTGTCTGGAGGTTATAACCATCCAAACTTACTTCCTTAATATGTTGGAACGTTTCCATCACATTGGAGCTAGCAACATCTGAGATCTAGCAGCAATACATAATAATTAACTTACCTAGTTTGTGTTGTGGCGCCCAATGAACAATGAAGAATACCTTAAGTGTAGTAAACCGAAATGCATCAGGTGAGACAACAAACTCATAATCATCATTTAGTCCAGATCTGACTTCCTGTACCAATTCGACAACCAAAGATGGTAAGCTACAAAATCATATGATATCAAAGGCTCGTATTAAGACAGACAATGACAATTAACGGAAATAGTGTAGCCAAACCAGAGGATGTACACATGATACTTATGAAGGGATGAACACTTCAGTTGCAGAGACGGCACTTAAGTTCTGAAGTTAACTGAAGATTCCTGTGTCCCAGCAATCTACAGGTTGGTCTTGGTACAGCAAAGTTGATTTAATTCGGACTGCATAAAGCTGGCTCTAATCAAGCTTAGACAATGCAGTTGGCTTCTGTACAGACCAAACAATGATAACTACTGCGTGGGATTTGGCCATGTGCTCTGCATACCCGTTTTCCACCCATTTCTGGATCAGGCTTGAATCGGTCAATTTAGCAACATGCGCAATCATGTCCGCATATGGAGATCATAGGCATGGCATTTATATACACACCAACATGCAGCAATCCAAAGCTACGTGAACAGGGTGAAAAACATCATACCACATTCAACACGCAGAGATCAGTCCTCTCCTCACTGGCAGCAAACGTGGACTGGGCGTATATGCTCTCCCCGACAAAGCTCCATCCACGCTCAAGCGTCAGACATCGCAGTCCACACTCAACCGCTTTTGCAACCAGCGCGCCTGAGCACACCACCTCCTCCTCCTCGCCAACCTTACAACGGAGGACGCAAAATTACTAAATTAACCAGCAAATACTCGTAGCATCAAAACGTCGAGCAGGTGAGGGACACGCTCACCGAGGCGCCCGTGAAGGCAGCCGCGATCTCGGAGGCCACCTCGGCGGCCGCGCGAGACTGGCATCTCTGCAGTGATCGGAACCCACGTGTTACATCTCTTCGCCAAGGACCGAGCGGAAGCGAGGCAGTTGAGCGAGCGAGACCTGGTAGACCACGAGGGCGTCGGCTGGGGGCTGGGGGAGGCACGCGAGACGGTGGCGGCGGGACAGCCTGCAGCAGAGGATGTCGAGGTCGAGGGATGGAGCGGCGGCGGAGAAGGAGACCTGGCGGAGGAGGAACGGCGGCGACGGTGCGGAGGAGGAAGAGGAGGGGACGGGGACGGCGCGCACGAGGACCTTGTTGCGGAACATGGCGAGTGTGCCTGGCCCTGAATCTTCTGCAACAGCACCTCTGAAGAATGGCGACATGCCGGTTCAGTATAACTTCAGCGATCGGGATGCAACCGGGGGAACGAAAACCGGAGATCCAACGGCTGCTGAGTCCGAGTTACATCTACTTTTCAGTGTCCGTGTGTTTAATCCTTGGCGGCTGCTACAAATCAGCCGGGTTTTTTTTTTTTGCGGGGAAATATAAATTCATTTGAATCAAGGGGATTCGTTACAGTCCTCTGGACAAAGAGTGCTGCCCACAATTAAGCAGTTGTTTCTCTTCCTCAACTAAAGCACACCCACTGGAGATCTATTTGACGCGTCATCCGTAAACACTAGATGATACCGCATGTGTTGTCGCGAAACATTTTGAATGAATCAAGTAGGACGTTATGAAAGTAGGAACCAACAGTGTGCTGAATAAAATGAAGCAATCAAGTAAAACGTGTGAATTCAAGTTCAAAATAAATGATTTTTTTAAGGTAAATGGTTTATCTCTACTTCTCTTCTCTACTACTAATACTAATAAACAATCAAACATTATCTTTTCTACGCGCACCCAAGCAAACGTCCGTGGACACATAACCACCACAGGATTAAGCCCAGACGACTCAATCTAACAGCTATCATTAATCTAATCGCGATCTGGTGTACGCTTAGCAATTTACCTAGGCTGACCGTACTCCACCAGGCTGAAAACCTCCGCGTCCGCAACCCTGCCATATATCACGCGACCAGAAAATAAAGGAATAAATTGATTCGCCTGATTTGTGGCCTGCATGCAGCAGCATTATCATGGATTGGTTCGGTCTACTCAGGTATTAATGATGAATTAAAAAGGATGATTACGTACCACGCAAGAAAAGGAAAGATTGGATGGAGAAAAGATATAATGAAGCGCATGGGGCACGCACTAGGAAAGAGCAAAGCGGATGCATGTGATTAAGGGCTGATTAATTACGCGGACGGTTTGCATTTCTGGATCATCTGAGGATCACAAAAAGACTAATAAACCTGACTGGAGGAGTGCTAAAATTACAGGCCTGCTATTCATGTTACATTGTGAAAAAATCACGGATCTACTGTTCACGTCACTATTCGAGGAAAATGACACCTCTCAACGCACGAGCGATAGGGTTTCACCGCCGCCGCCGTCCCTTTGTGCTGCTCCGCCCGCTGCATCTCCTCCCCGCGCGACTCTCTGGCCCTCCAGGCCTCCATGTCTACCTTTCTTTGACCTTGCTCGCCGTCTCCTATCCTAGGTCATGGTTCTTCCCCGATGTATCGATGTCGTTGGCTGTCGATTCTGCCGTTTCGTTCCTGCTGTTTGTGGGTAGGTGCTCCTCCCCTTGCCGGCGGGCGGCCTCCATCGTCAATCGTCTGTTAGTGCTGGTGATCAGCTGCATGCATCCAATGGAGAAGGGACGGCGCAACCATTCATGTTCTGGAACACGCGTAGCAATAATCCACCCCAAAACCAGTCGAATACGAATGCAACCTCTAGGTACATTTTTTCTGTCTCTCTCTAATATTTTTCTCTCTCGCACAGTGACATATTTACACCTTCGGTCCTTTCTTGCTGCTAATCTTCTTTCCGAGGCGAGCGGCCACGCAATATGAGACTCAGTTGAACGATGAACATTGTCAGGAGCGTTTGATTTTCTTTGTGCATTTGGTGGCTGGATACAAATTTGATATTATTATCAAACTAAGTTTATTGTTTGCTTGCAGTTTACGTATTGGATTTGCCATGCAAAACATTCTATCTTGGCAACATTTTTTTGCGGGAATAGGCAACATCTTTTTGTTCAAGATGTACGTGGGTGTTTTCTACCGTTTTCCACTTCCCTATATGAAATATGTTGCATACATCATCCCTAGCAGGCTTAGGCAGAGAGCAACGTATATCTCTACTGTGATCAATAAAGAGTACAGCAGCCCAAGAATATTACCCTTTTTTGAAACGCAGGTATCAGCTCATTGACCGCATCTTAATATTTTGTACCTCCTCTTTCACTGCTATCGAATATTTAGATTGTCATTAACTAATGCCCATACCATCTTAAGCTATGAGCAGACTCACCCAGGTGATTATTTCCTATCTGCTCTTGCCTATTCATTATCTATACTTTTGAAAAATCTAAGTTATTTTTTTCTCTCACGCAGTAAGTTTTTGACTTGTTGAAGACAGAAGGTATAGCAGCTCTAAGCCTGATGTAGTATTGGCGTCTAATGGGGCATTAATAAGCTGTGTATAAAAACTAATTTTCTTTCTTGGTGTCAGCTCTGAGAGGGACGAGCATCAAGTTGTGAACATTTTTATTTCAAAACTTTTTTTTGTTGGTCAGCTGTTTCCATAAAGAATTAGGCAATGTTGTTTTTCATGCATCAACTTATTTTAGTGGAGCTGAGCATTATGAGGATTTGTAAAGGCTTTGGGGTTGCTAATCTGAACAACCATTATGATAAATGGAATTATGTTCATTCATTTCTTTTTTGAGGAAACATGTGCTTTTATCATATAAAAGATCTACAATAAGCATCACTGCCCAGCGTCTGGATAGCTCGGCTATATCTGCTTGGGTTTGTCCCTACTAATTAATTGGACTAGCCCCTTTAGTCCATGTATTTGTATCATCCAGTGTAGCTAAGCATATCTAGCAAATGAGTGCGACTGGGTTATTGAAGGCGGCCGAAAAAGCACATCCACCTTACACCTCGGCTCCGTCTGCCTTGGCTAGCTTGTGAAGTATGGATTTGTATCCTTGTAAGACTTCTTTCTATATTGCTTTTCTTGGTTTGATTTTTGTGGTGTCCATCTTGCATGGTATCAGATGCAGCTAGGAAAAATAAATGTCGCTCCATGCTTGAAAACGCTGGCATCAAGAAGCTCAATTAGGATATAAAATAACATACTAATCAGTCGTGCGTTGCACGTGCATGCTTACTAGTGTGCAAAGGGAAAATAGACGGAAAGCATAGCAAGTAACTTTTCTTTTTACCATTCTTTACTTTTGACAAAACCAAAGGACAATGTATAGAGATCTCCAATGTATAACGGCAGCACAGCAAAACGGCAATAGTGCGCCGATAGTTGAAACCACAATATCAACAAAATGAGATAACGTTATACTACTACTTGAAATGTTCAGATAATCATACATATATGTCATGAAACCCAGTAAATGCACATTATTATGCATGCTCAATGTCATCCAGGCTCCAGCACAGTTACGATGTTGAGTTTTCTGATGTAGCAAATAGAATTAATCAGAATCCTATGCTCTCTAAATGATATGAGAGCAATGTAGACTGCGAACAGCAATAGGCCTATACAGCAACAAAGAATCACCAATTTTTGCAACAACGATAACTATCCTTGTCAGGCAAGACGTCTAGCACCTATGCAGCATCGACGGAACCTGACAAAATAAAATAAGCTCAGTCATGGGAAAAACCGAGGAGGCTCTCTGACCGACCCTCTTACCATGAGGAAGACGCAGGCATTTCTACCGCACGCCTCGATCTGCTCCCCTGTCTCCTCTGCCACCACCTCCGCATGCTCCTCGCCGAGATCCTAGCCACACAACACAGGTGAATCGCACTGCTCGATCCTCCACGTTGTGGGTCGTCACGCTGGGCATCGCCACGCTCCACGGCGTTGAGTCTGCCGCAGCCGACGGAGCCGGATATGCCGTCTTGGCGGTGCTGTTGTAGGATAACGACGGGACGGGACAACTGGCGAGCCGAGACATGCATCTAATTCTACATTGCCCTGGTGCGTGCGACACATGAGTGAGCATGGAAGATGGCCAAGGTCACTGAAGCATTGGGCATGGTGGATTTTACAGTTCTATCTATTTTCTCCGGCGGCCAATCAAGCCTCGTTTCGCCTAAACGCTCTCACCTGTCGAGGGCCGCGAGCTGTCCCCGTCCTTGCCGTCGTCGACGCGCTCGGCGAGACTCGGAGGCAGTGGCAGAGCGATGACACACAGGCCGCCGCTGCTCCGAGGGCCGCGAGCTGGCCCCCCGTCCCTGCCATCGACGACGCGCCCGGCAAGAATCGGAGGCAGAACAATGAGACACGGGCCGCCACTACTCCGAGAGGTTGCACTACCGCGACGGGAGCGCGCCACTGCAGATGGCCGACTTGAGCGGTAGCACAACCTCGTTGGGGAGCTCGGAGATGCGGTCCTCCCAATCCCTGCGTGTCACCGCTCCTACTTCTCTGTCCTCCTACTCCTCACTGATGCAGATGGCCAACTTGAGCGACAGCACAGGCTCGTTGCGAAACCCCGAGATGAGGTCCGGTACTCCGGTCCTCTGACCCCTTGCGCGCCGCCGATCCTCCAGCTAAATCGACCAAGATATTTATGAAGGGATTCTAAGTGACATGGAGGCACTAGCTCTTCGGGTGTCTCTTTGATGTAGAAGGTAAATAAAACGATCGATCATGTCTCTTTGAATGCCAATAATTATCGATCATGTCTCTTTGAATCCCACGATTGATCATGTCTCTTCGGGTGCTTGCGTATGTTTTTCTGAGTTGCCATCCTTGGGAGACCGAGAGTCTTTTCCATGGACCTAGTATTATTTACAAAAGAAAAACTAAATCACAGGATGGAATCGATGATGTGGCTAGACTGCTGAAGTGGATGGTTGCATGTTGATTGCTAATGTGGACAGTGTGCATGGTGAGAGAATGGGTTGTAGTGGGGATCAACTTCGCACGTTGTTGCGGGAATGTTTGCAATATTTCAATGAGATTTTGATTATATGGAACATGAATTTTTGAAACAATAGTTTTTAAAAGTATATAAGAATTAAATGTAAATAGCATAATAAAATGAAATTTCACATGCATGCATGTTGTAGTGGACTTTTAATATGAATAGTGGCATGTTGAGGTGGGCCTTTCCTTATGCATGTTGAATGATGAGGTGGCATGCTTGCATGTTGAGAGAAATATGTTGGTGGGGGCT